ATAATCAACTACGTTACTTATATTCAGAGAAAGTAGGCTTTCGATATTTAGTAAATCTCGAATAAGAGTTATACTGGTCCTAGATTGCATATCGTGATGGAGAAAAAATTATTGAAATTTCCTACAATCATATGAGTAGCTTTGCTTCCCAAATGTTATTCTCCTCTAGGAGAATAGAATTGCGTGAAAATTCAATTATCATTCCTTCATGCAATTATGCGACCTAGACTGATTGTAATTCCTAATTAAGATTTTCTGAAAGCTTCTAAACCTTGTTTAAATGACTAAAGGTGCCGGACAGTGTCATTTGGCGGGCTTATCGAGGCCTTATAACTCAACATGAAGGGTTTTCCGAGAGTTGGTCTAGTCGGGGTAGATGCAATCCATTTTAGTAGATGTCTCAAGGCGCTGCTTCAGTTTATGCTCCACTCAGGCCCTCGAGATGGTTAAATGGGACACTTGGCTTTGACTCTGGCTCAATGTCAGCCTCCGCCCCATTTGGGCACTAAGCCTCCCTTCTTTAGGTCCGAAGTGGGAATGCTATTAATAAGTGCACAGAGCAAACTGCTTCACACATGCTCTCGTGAGTGACCTCAGTGGCCTCAGTGTGTTTCACCTACACTATATGTGCCTGTGCCTGCGTTTGCGCCTGTCCGTAAGTTTGCTGACATGCAACTCTGACTTAATTTGAATAAAAAAACAGGGCAAAAACATTTTAAACCAAACATTGCCATACAGCGAGGCTCATTGCTAAGGGCTCAGTGCTTGGTGTGGACCAACGACAATGCCCTGTCACACCTTTCAGGTCTACATGAACCGAGTTTCTATGCCAATAATTTAGGTCCTTTCTGCACCAGGGCTTTTTTTGTTACTATGTCGAGGTGCGAGCTTATGTCGTGGGGAGAGTGAGAGAAGGGAAGAGACCCGGTCAAAATCTGGTGCATACACTCTATCTGCGGATGTGTGCCGGCTTGTTTGGTTGCAGTAAATCAGTATTGGCAATAAAATGTGTGCCAAAGACCTGCAGAGTTAAGTGTGCCGTTGCATGCCCAGTGGGCAAGGTTCAAACAAGGTGGAGATAAACGGATTATTCGCCAAATTCCAAATCAATGTGCGGGATAGAGACATGCACATTCGCCGACAGAATAGGAAGTCAGGCCAACCGGCCGGCCTGTCGACATACATACAGTCAGACAGACGGATCCTCTGTCCGGCGAAGGTGCAGCCGACGGGACGGAGACTGAAGCCGTCAGAATCCCAGTTACTAACGTGTGAACGCTCAGACTCAGCTTGACAACTGGTCTGCCGAGGCAGCCAATGAAAGAGACAGACAAAACCGTGCCATCTCAGTGTTTGTGTGGTTAAACTTGGGCTCGAAGTCACGTAGCCCAAAAGGGTCTAAAGACAACGTAGCTAAACCTTGTGAAAATCAGACTTTTCTGTGGGGAATCTGGCCGGGAGCGGGCTAGCCGGATGGTGGACCAAATCTGTCCAAGACTGAAGAAAAATGCGAGGGTATGAGCGAAACGACTTGACCGCAAATCGCAGAGAGACTGCAAATTGAAAGAGAGAGATAGAGATTAACGCTAATTAATCAAGCCTGAGCTTAGTTGCCATCGCAAAAAGGTAAATGAGCCAAGGAAAATGTCTCTAATTTGAGGGCGAAGTTGCACGCAGCGGATGGCTACAGGCGCCTTTGTTTATCTCCCGTCATGACTATTGCAATCATGGCTGTTTCAGGTCAGCCTGTCTAGTCGGCTTCTCCAGGATCCAAGGTACCAGAATTCCCAAAGCAACATACGTGATGCGCCATGGTTGCAAGACTCTCGTTTGGAGTAAAAAGGTACATTGCCTCAGACGTCTGCTCTTAATTGCCCAATCGCCGGAGCCCAATTTGGCCATGACCAACAAATGTTGGCATGTAGACGGGACTCAGGAGTTCAGAGCTGGATTACGTTAAGGCGTTGAAAATACTACCTAGCACTCCGTTGAAGCATTCATTGTGCTTCGGTTGGCAGGTGTAAATCGGGGGGATGGGAAAATAGATAAGAGGAGAGTGATTCGACTATACATTTCGTAACAAAACT